CCAGACACAGCCAGGGTTCCCTCTCGCTAAGCCAGGGGTGGGCAATATGCGGCCCATGGGCTACATCTGGTCCGCCAAGCCACTGCATGCAGCCCCCAGCCACCTTGCAGGAAGCCTTCGTCACAGAGCAACTCATGCTGCTTTAAACAGCTGGCTGCTCTGTGCTCTGGACATTGGGGAGGGAGGGGGAGGCTGTGCTCACTGCCCCCCCTCTCCCTCCGCCAAATCTGTCAGCTCCCATTGGCCAGTTTCTGGCCAATAAGAGCTAAGACATTTTGCTGGAGCAGAGCCACATGGAGCAGCCCAAGGTTTCCCCCAGCTGGGACTGCAGCAGACAGGCAGATTCCTGCAGGGCTGCTAGCTGGGAGCAGCCTAGGTAAGCTCTCTGGGCCAGAGCCTTCCTCTAGCACCCCACCCGCTCTCTCCTTCCAACTACCTTCCCCGGGCCACCACCCAAACTCTCTGTCCTCCCTCTCCCCACCTCCTCCAGGTCACAACCCCCTCCTACACCCCTCCCCCAGGGCATAATCCTCTCCTACACCCAGACCCTCTCTCAGACCCTGCACCCCAGATCACAACCCGCTCTTTCACCTAAACTCCCTCTCAGACCCCACACCCTCTCCTGCACCCCAGTCCGCTACCCCAAGCTCCCTTCTGCACTCAACTGCCGCCCCAGACCTGGTACCTCCTCCATAGACGTGTGGCCCTCGACAAAATCTTGGCGTGGCCCCCCATTAAAATGTACTGCCCACCCCAGCACAAAAGGCAGGTGGTAGGAAAGTGACACCCAGCCCTGAGGACCCCAGGGGTTCCCTAGTGCAGTCTCCCATCTGCACCTGAGCAGGCCAGCCCCTGCTTAGCTGCAGCACTGCAGGGGAGGGGTACACCTGGCACTCACCTCACCACGTCACCCAAGCGCACGCGGAGGTTGTTGCGGGTGACTCGGTTCATGCGGATCTTCTCGCTCTGGCAGGAGTCATCGGTGAGGACGATGCAGACCGTCTCCCGGCGCTTCTTGCCCTTCAGCAGCACCGTGTCCCCCCGGAACAAGTGCAGCTCCTCCATCTTGGTCTGCGACAGAGACAGGCAGTGATAGCCCACAGGGCATGGGGGCCTGTGTACAGTGTGTGCGTAGGCAAGCCTGGTCGGGGGGTACATGCAGGGTACATGTGCATGGTGCCTATGGGAGTGTGTGCTTGTAGCGAGCATGTGCATGTTGCATGTGCGCGTGGGTGCATGGGGATAGTACGCATGGGCATGGTGCATGGGGCTGGTACACAGGGAGTGTGTATCTGTGTGGGCTGTGCGTGTGTGCATGGTTTATGCACGTGCAATGTGTGAATAATGAACATGTGCACATGGTAAATGTGTGTGTATATTGGGGGTACCTGATGCACATGGAGGTGAGTGTAGATAGTGGGTGGGTGTGCGTGTATGTAGATGGCATGTATAGACAACATGTGTAGGGGTGTGGACACATGTGGAACCCAGCCTGCCCAGCTATGAGTCTTAGCCTCTGTACTGCTACTAACAGGCAATTCTCTAAGGCTACGTCTAGACTGGCATGATTTTCCGGAAATGCTTTTAATGGAAAAGTTTTCCGTTTAAAGCATTTTCGGAACAGAGCATCTAGATTGGCACGGACGCTTTTCCGCAAAAGTACTTTTTGCGGAAAAGTGTCCGTGCCAATCTAGACGCAATTTCCGCAAAAAAGCCCCGATCGCCATTTTCGCGATCGGGGCTTTTTTGCGGAAAACAAATCTGGGCTGTCTACACTGGCCCTTTTGCGCAAAAGTTTTGTGCAAAAGGACTTTTGCCCGAACGGGAGCAGCATAGTATTTCCGCAAGGACACTGACAATCTTACATGAGATCGTCAGTGCTTCTGCGGAAATTCAAGCAGCCAGTGTAGACAGCTGGCAAGTTTTTCCAGAAAAGTGGCTGATTTTCCGGAAAAACTGGCCAGTCTAGACACCGGATGAAGTTTGAGAGAGGAGGTGCATTAGGAGCAGGGAGCGGAAATTTGCCGTGAGCGTCCCGAGGTGCAGCAGGGAGCTCCCAGGGGCAACCGGAGCCTCTTGCCTTGCCTCCCTGCAGGGGAAGGGGATCAGCCAGGCGGCTGGCTGGGCGGTGGGACCCCCCGGGAGGCTGTACCTGCGACAGGGTGACAATGCTGTTGTCCTCATTCACCCTCCCTGCAGGGAAGGGGCTCAGCCAGGCGGCTGGCTGGGCGGTGGGACCCCCCGGGAGGCTGTACCTGCGACAGGGTGGCAATGCTGTTGTCCTCATTCACTGCTTCA